GACTCAAACCACCAAGGCAGAGTACCCACAGGCAGCTGGCTCTGGGAATGTCTGTGCTCTCTCCCTCCATTCATTGGGCATGCTCACAAGACTGAGAGTGGATCCTCTGCACCCCATAACAGCGGAGCCTTGTGTGCTGTGACTATGAGAATTCTGTGACTGCACAATAGGATGCAGAGTATAGCTGGGTTTCTGGGCAATCATTGTGTCTGGTATCAGAGGCTTAGAGCTCCTTGACAGCCTATATGGGTCACTGCAGAGGTTCCTTGCTCATACCGAGGACCACACAGATCCCTTGTGCAATTCTGTACCAGTGTGTATCCACTGTGGGCTAACCCCAGTCACTGATCACCTTTGAAGAGAGGAGGTGAAGTTGTGATTATGCCAACAGGTGTGATCATACCCCCTCCCCTGCTGACAATAGAGGAGATCTACCATACCCCACTTGGGTGTCCCCCTGGATTCTTGCCCCAGCCTGGAGAACTGACTAGAGATCCCTGGCCACACCCAGCACACACCTCTGGGTATTCACTCAAAGAGAAGAAACCCCACTAAGCCAGAGTCAGCCTTAGAAGCAATGAGAAGCAAATTCATGAGTTAAAGAAGTCCATACATGACATGGAGGAAAAATTTTCCTGTGAGATTTAGATTTAGATTTTGAAGAGAAATCAACCTGAAATATTAGAAATAAAGAATTCAATACATCAAATAAAAATACAGTAGAAAGCTGTAACAACAGACTTGGTGAGGCAGAAGAAACAATATCCAAGCTAGAAGACAAATCTTTGCAAAGATTTGCCTTAGTCAGACCAAAAACAGAAAAAGAAATTAGAAAAATTAAAAACAATGTTTGAGATTTATGGGATACTATCAAATGACCCAACATATGGGTCTTAGGAATTCCTGAAAGTGTGGAAATAGAGACTGGATTGGAAGGCCTATTTAGTGAAATAGAAAACTTCCCTAATTTGGAGGAAGAAAGGGACAACCAAGTACAACAAGCACAAAGAATCTCTAATAGATATGACCAGAAAAGATTTTCACCACAACAGAATTTAGTCAAATTTTCTATAGTAAAATATAAAAAATTCTAAAATGTGCACGAATTGCTAGTTTAATCTCCAATTAGACTCATAGCAGACATCATCAGAAACCCTAAGTGCTAGGAGATAATGGAGATACACTCCAAGTCTTAAAGGAAAAAAACAGTCAACTCAGAATACTGTATCCTACAAAACTCTCATTTATGATTTAAGGTGAAATAAAGACCTTCCATAACAAACAGAAATTGAAAGAATTTGTCATCACTCATTCAGCCTTACAAATGATGCTTAAGGATGTGCTAAACACAGAAACACAGAAAGATAGTCATCCTTATGAAAGAATGTGAAAGCAGAAAACCTCCTGGTAAACATACAAAGAAAATCCAAAGCAAGCAATAGGAATATGTATAGAAAAATGTCAGGACCAAGTTGTTATTTATCAATAGTAACTTTGAACGTAAATGGCCTAAACTCTCCAATTAAAAGATACAGACTGGCTGAAATGATTAAAAAAACAAGACTCATCTATTCGCTACATACAAAAAAACACACCTCACCATCAAAAATACACACAGACTGAAAGTGAAATAATGGGGAAAGATATTCCACGCTAATGGAAAGTAGCAATGAGCAGGTGTAGCCATCCTAATATCAGACAAAAAAGACTTCAACACAAAAACTGTTAAAAGAGACAAAGAATAGCATTATGTAATGATTAATGGATCAATTCAATGGGAAGACGTGACTATATCAAATGTATATGCACCCAATGCCAAGGTGCCTGTCTATTTAAAACAAATGTATCTAAAGGAGACATAATCAAATACAATAATAATGGGGGACTTCAACATCCCATTTTCATCAATGGACTGATCAACTAGACAGAAAGTCAACAAAGAAACAACAAAGCTAATCTACACTATGGACAAAATGGACCTAACTGATATCTATAGAACTTTTCATCCTACAGTTGTAGAATACACATTGTTTTTATCAGTGCATGCTACTTTCTCTAGGATAGACCATATGCTAGGCCATAAAGCAAGTCTCAGCAAATTCAAAAAATTGAAATAATATCATGTGTTTTTTCTGACCAAAAGCAGCATTAAGAGGAAAGTTTATAGCAGTTAGTGCCTACATCAGGCAATTGGAAAGAAGAGAATTGAGCCCTTGTGGGAATGTTGGCTCCACAAAGACATGCAGTTGCTTTCCCAGACATGCTTATCTAATATGTCTTGTGAAAGGAGAGACAGAACACAGGAACATGTAATAAACCTTAGCATTATATGAACATGTGCATGTGCTGTACAATAGGCTGTTGTAATTATTACCAATAAAGAAACATGCTGGGATGGTCCAGCAGCACTTTTCAGAGGAAGAGTTTCTGTGTCCTGTCTCTCCCTTTGCTTACATACCCCAACAGGAAGGTATGGTTCAACATATGAAAATCAATAAATGTGATACATTATATTAACAAGTTGAAGAAGAAAACTGTATGATTATCTCAATAGATTCAGAGAAAGCATTGGATAAAACACAACATCCTTTCATGATAAAAACATTAAGTAGGGCCGGCGCCGTGGCTCAACAGGCTAATCCTCCACCTTGCAGCGCCAGCACACCAGGTTCTAGTCCCGGTCAGGGCGCCGGATTCTGTCCTGGTTGCCCCTCTTCCAGCCAGCTCTCTGCTGTGGCCCGGGAAGGCAGTGGAGGATGGCCCAAGTCCTTGGGCCCTGCACCCGCATGGGAGACCAGGAGAAGCACCTGGCTCCCAGCTTCGGATCAGCGAGATGCACTGGCCTTGCGGCCATTGGAGGGTGAACCAACGGCAAAGGAAGACCTTCCTCTCTGTCTCTCTCTCTCACTGTCCACTCTGCCTGTCAAAAAAAAAACATTAAGTAAATTGGGTATAGAAGGAACATTTCCCAACACAATCAAGGCAATTTATGACCAATCCACAGCCAGCATCATATTGAATGGGGGAAAAGTTGGAAGCATTTTCACTAAGATCCAGAAACAGACAAGAATGCCCACTTTCACTACTGCTATTCAATATAGTCCTGGAAGTTTTAGTCAGAGCCATTAGGCAAGAAAAAGAAATCAAAGGGATACAAATAGGAAAGGAAGAACTCAATTATCCCTGTTTGCAGATGATATGATTCTCTATATAAATGAACCAAAAAACTCCTTTAGAGACTATTGGAACTTCTAAGAGAATTTGGTAAAGTTGCAGGATGTAAAATTAACACAATAAGTCAATAGCTTTTTTTTTTTTTTTTGACAGGCAGAGTGGACAGCGAGAGAGAGAGACAGAGAGAAAGGTCTTCCTTTGCCGTTGGTTCACCCTCCAATGGCTGCCACGGCTGGCACACTGCGGCCGGCGCACCGCGCTGATCTGATGGCAGGAGCCAGGTACTTATCCTGGTCTCCCATGGGGTGCGGGGCCCAAGGACTTGGGCCATCCTCCACTGCACTCCCTGGCCATAGCAGAGAGCTGGCCTGGAAGAGGGGCAACCGGGACAGAATCCGGCACCCCAACCGGGACTAGAACCCGGTGTGCCGGCGCCGCAAGGTGGAGGATTAGCCTAGTGAGCCGCGGCGCCGGCCAAGTCAATAGCTTTTATATTCACAGACAATACCATGGCTGAGAAAGAACTTCTAAGATCATTCCCATTCACAATAGCTACAACATTTTAAATACCTTGGAATAAATTTAACCAAGGAGGTGAGAGATCTCCATGATGAAAATTAGAAAACATTAAAGAAAGGAATAGAAGACACAAGAAAAGGAAAAATCTTCCATGTTTGTGGATTAGAAGAATTAACATAATCAAAATTTCCATATTACCAAAAGCAATTTACAGTTTCAATGCTATTCCAAATCAAAATACCAATAACATTCTTCTCAGATCTAGAAAAAAACATGCTAAAATTCATATGGAAACACCAGAGACCTTGAATAGCTAAAGCAATCCTAAACAACCAAAACAAAGCTGGAGGCATCACAATATCAGATTTTGAGACATATTACAGGGTAGTTTTAATCAAAACAGCCTAGTACTGGCACAAAAATAGACATGTGGACCCATGCAACAGAATAGAACCTCCAGAAATCAATCCAAGAATCTACAATCAAATAATCTTTGACAAAGGAGCTAAAATCAACCCCTGGGGAAAGCATACTCTCTTCAACAAAAGGTGCTAAAAAAAACTAGATCTCCACATGTGGAAGCATGAAACAAGACCCCTACCTTACACTTTACACAAAAATTAACTCAAAAGTGGATCAAGGATCTAAATATATTATGTGATACAATCAAATTACTAGAGGAGAACTTTGGGGAAACTCTACAAGACATTGGCACGGGCAAAAACTTCTTGGATATGACTCCAGAAGCACAGGCAATCAAAGCAAAAATAGATAAATGGATTACATCAAGCTCAGAAGCTTCTGCACTGCAAAAGAAACACTCAGCAAAGTAAAGAGGCAACCAACAGAATGGGAGAAAATATTTGCAAACTATGCAACTGATAAAGGAGTAACATCTAGAATATAAAAAGAGCTCAAAAAACTCAACAAAACAAACAACCCAGTTAAGGAATAGGCAAAGGACTTGAATGGGCATTTTTCAAAAGAGGAAATTGATATGGCCGACAGACACCTGAAAAAATGCTCAGGATCACTATCCTCTGGGAATGCAAATAAAAACCACAATCATGTTTCACCTCATCCCAGTTAGATCAACAAACATACTGAAATCAACAAACAATAAATGCTGGTGAGGATGTGGAGGAAAGGGTACCCTAATCCACCGTTTTTAGAAATGTAAACTAGTACAGCCATTATGGAAGACAGTATGGAGACAGCTCAGAAAGCTGAAAATAGATTTACCAAACAGCCAGCAATTTCACTCCTGGGAACTTACCCAAATAAAATCAAATCAGCATATGAAAGAGTTATCTGTATCCCCATGTTTATTGCAGCTCAATTCACAACAGCTAACATATGGAATCAAACCAGATGTCCATCAACTGATGACTGGATAAAGAAAGTGTGGTGTATATATGGCACGGAGTAATCCTCAGCTGTAAAAAAAGAATGAAATTCTGTTTTTTGTGATAAAATGGATGCAACTATAAACCATTGTTCCTAGTGAAATAAACCAGTCCCCAAAAGATAAATACCATATTTTTTCTTTTTTAAAAATTTTTTTGACAGGCAGAGTGGACAGTGAGAGAGAGACAGAGAGAAAGGTCTTCCTTTGCCGTTGGTTCACCCTCCAATGGCCGCCGCGGCCGGCGCGCTACGGCCGGCGCACCGTGCTGATCTAATGGCAGGAGCCAGGTACTTATCCTGGTCTCTCACGGGGTGCAGGGCCCAAGGACTTGGGCCATCCTCCACTGCACTCCCTGGCCACAGCAGAGAGCTGGACTGGAAGAGGGGCAACCGGGACAGAATCTGGTGCCCCGACCGGGACTAGAACCCGGTGTGCCGGCGCCGCAAGGCAGAGGATTAGCCTAGTGAGCCATGGCACCGGCCTAATACCATATTTTTTTCTGTGATCTGTGGTAACTAATAGAGTACCAACAAAATGTAATGTTAAATTGACATTTGAGATTGGAATGATTGTTTACAGCCCTGTCCCTACTATTGAAGAACAGTGTTTTTTTTTCCTTACGATTTGTTGAACTTTTTACTTAGTGTAGGTTTAATCTTATGAGTATAAAATAGACTGAGAATAGATCATTTTAAGAATTAGAGGAGGGACTGGTGCTGTGGTGTAGCGGGTGAGGCCACTGCCTGCACTGCCGGCATCCCAGCTGCTCCTCTTCTGAACCAGCTCTTTGCTATGGCCTGGTAAGGCAATACAGGATGGCCCAAGTCCTTGGGCCCCTGCATTCATGTTGGAGACCCGGAGGAGATTCCTGGCTCCTGGTTTTCGATCGGCTCAGCTCTGGCTGTTGTGACCATTTGGGGAGTGAACCATCAGTTGAAGGACCCCTGTCTCTCTCTCTCTCTCTCTCTCTCTCTCTCTGCCTCTGCCTCCCTGTAACTCTACCTTTAAAATAAATAAATAAAAATAAATGAATCTTTAAAAAATAATTTAAAAAAGGAATGGGAAAAGAAGGAGGGGAGAGGGTGGGAGCTTGGATGGGAGGGAGGGTAGGGTGGGGAGTATCACTATTCTCCTAAATCTGTATATATGAAATAGATTAAATTTATTCACCTGTTAAAAATTTATAAAGAAAAAAAGGGGGGGGAGTCTTGCTTCTCCCCAGCTCTCCAGAATATTATATACTCCCCAACTCTGCAGAATATTATACCACCTCCAATTTCTTGGAATGTACTTCCTCCATCCATTCCTCTACTGTCCTACCCCTAATCTTTTTTTTCTTTTAAAGATGTATTTACTTATTTGAAAGTCAGAGTTACACAGAGAGAGAAGGAGAGGCAGAGAGAGAGAGAGAGGTCTTCCGTCCACTGGTTCACTCCCCAATTGGCAGCAATGGGTGGAGCTGCGCTGATCTGAAGCCAGGAGCCAGGAGCTTCTTCTGGGTCTCCCATGTGGGTGCAGGGGCCAAAGGACTTACAGCATCAACCATTGCTTTCCCAGGCCATAGCAGAGAGCTGGATTGGAAGTGGAGCAGCCGGGACATGAACAAGCACCCATATGGGATGCCGGCACTGCAGGCAGCGACTTTATTCGCTACGCCACAGCGCCAGCCCCACCCCTGCCCCTAATCTTTACAGAATGTTCTGTTCCCACATTCCTCAGAATGTCCGCCCTCTACCCCCCAACTTCTGAGAATAGTGTTCCCTCCAACTCCTCAGAATGGACTGCCTCCCCACCTACTCCTAGAACTCTTCATAATTTCCCGCCTCCCAATCCTCAGAATGTCCTTCTCCCCAGTCCTGAGAATGTCCTGGCCACCTCAAGTCCTCAAAATGTAATGCCGCCCCACTACTCCCCAGAACGTTGTGTTCCCCAGCTCCTCAGCATAGTATGCCTCCCTAACTTCAGAATGTCCTGCTCACTGACTCCTCAGGATTATTCTGAGCCCCAAGCGTTGCAGAATGTCCTCTATCTTCCGACTCCTCAGAATGCTCTATCCCACCTAATCCTCAGGATACTCTACCCAGCTCCTTACAATATCCTGCTTTCACATCCTCAGAATGTCCCTTCCCATAACTCCTCAGAAGATCTTGTCACTCCCAAATGCTTCAAGTATTCTGCCTCACAAACTCCTCAGAATGCCTTCCCTCCTACCCACGACTCCTCATAATGTCCTGTTCCCTCAACTTCTCAGAATGTTCTACCCCAAACTTTTTTTTTAAGATTTATTTATTTTATTTGAAAGAGGTTCAGAGAGAGAGAGGTCTTCCATCCAATGGTTCACTCACCAAATGGCCGCAACAGCCAGAGCTGCGCCGATCTGAAGCCAGGAGCCAGGAGCTTCTTCCTGGTCTCCCACGCGGGTGCAGGGGCCCAAGGACTTGGGCCATCTTCTACTGCTTTCCCAGGCCATAGCAGAGAGCTGGACAGGAAGTGGAGCAGCCAGGTCTCAAACCAGTGCCCACAAGGGATGCTGGCGCTTCAGGCCAGGGTGTTAACCCACTGCGCCACAGCGCTACCCCCCCCCAATTTCTCAGAAAGCCTTGCTTCTCACCTGCAACTCCTCACAATGTATCGCCCCCTCTAATCCTCAAAATATCCTTCCCCACAAATACTAAGATTGTTCTGTTCCCTAACTCTTCAAAATGTCCCATCCCACAAATCCTCAGAATATTCTGTCTACCCAATTTCAAGAAGGATCTGCCTCCACAATTGCTCAGGATATCCTGCTCCCTAACTCTTAAGTATGTTCAGCCCCCAGTAACTCAAAACATTCTGTCTATGAGAATTAACAATTCTCAAAATGTCCTACGTCTACCCCAATACCTAAGAACATTTTGCCCCTCCAACTCTTCAATATAATGCCTCTCCCCCATTCCTCATGTTTTGCCCTCCCAACTCCTCAGAACATTCTGCCCCCAACTCCTCAGAATGCCATGCCCCCAAATCCTCAGAATATCTTGTCCCTAAAACTCCTAAAATGACCTCCCTTCCAATTCCTCATAATATTGAGCCCCTAACTCCTCAGAATGTCTACCCCCTCCTTACCCCTCAGAATGTCTTAACTCTCCAACTAAGAATATTTTGCCCCCTAATTCCTTAGAACGTCCTACCCAATTCCTGAATTTCACACACCCCAATTATTTTGAATGCTGTGTTCCCAAACTACTCAGAATGTCCTGTACCGCTACTCCTCAAAACATTCTGTCTCAACTACTCAGAATATCCTGCCCCTAAATTCCTCAGAATGGCCTCCCACAAACACTGAGAATATTCTGCACCCACCTGCTCTCCGACTCCCTAGCTCGTCCTGACTCAAATCCTCAGAATAAGCTGCCTAACTCCTCAGAATACCCTGTTTCCTCAACTCCTAAAATGTCCTGCTCCAATCACGTTGGTTGTCATTGCATTCGCTCTTTAATGTCAGTGCCACCACTGCCTCTAGCTCACAGAACTCCAGCAGGAGAAGGGGATTGCTCCCCAATGCCCTGGCTTTAAGGCACCCAGGAAGCAACTAACCACAAAAGCCTGCCAGACTGACACTATGAGAAGCAATTACTTGAATAGATCTTATCTTGACCATTAAGGAACAGTTTATTATTTCATTTCTTTATTCTTTTTTTCTCTACTTAATATCATTGGTTGAACTCTGTACTTAACATAGAATTAATCATAGATGTAGTAAGTCAATTGAAAATAGATCCCAGTTAAAAATAAGAGTGGAGATGAGAGAGGAGGGGAGCTATACAGATCCACACACATTCCCACAGACTTACCCCTAAAGGTGAAGCTAAAAACTTGCCATGCACTCTGACCTCAGAATCAGCCCCTAAGGTATTTGGACCTGACTGAGAATCCCATGAGAGCATTTCAGGCATGAAAAGCCAAGACATAGTGCCAAAAACGGTTCTACATGAAAGATCTCTGTGAGTGAGACCCCAGTGGAAAGACGGGGCCATCAAAGAAGGATGTACTTTTCTCTGAAGGCAGGAGAGAATTTCCACTTTGCATATGGCCTATCTAAATACTGACAGAGTTTGTGGACTCAAAAGGCTTCCATGGCCTTGGCAGCTCATGGCAAGAGCCTCGGGTCATCACTGATGTCAAAAATAAGAGTGTTAACTGGTAAATCAACAACAGGAGTCACTGTGCACTTACTCCCCATGTTGGACCTCTGTCCTTAATGAGGTGTATTATGAGAATTAACAGTAAAACTTGTCTTCAAACTGTACTTTATACTTTGTGTGTCTGTGAGGGTGCAAACAGTTGAAATCTCTATTTAGTATAGAGTTAATCTTCTGTATATAAAGTAAATTAAAAACGAATCTTAACGGAAAATGGAATGGGAGAGGGAGTGGGAGGTGGGATGGGAGTGGGAGTGGGAGGGCAGGAATGGGGAGAAGAAACACTATATCCCTGAAAGCTGTACATATGAATTTTGTATTCATTAAATAAAAACCTTCAAAAAAGAAAAAAAAAGAAAAAATCCTGCCAGAATGCGCCCTCTACTGGAGAAAGTAAGAAGACACCTCCTTGTTACAGGCCTGGTACTGCGGCACTCTGAAATTATGTGTTGTCAAAAGTTCACTAAATTACTCTGACTCACAAACTCCCCTTCCAGCGCCTGGTGCGGAAAATTGCTCAGGACTTCAAAGCAAATATGCCCTTCTGAAGTGCAGCCACTGGTGCTTTGCAGGAGGCAAGTGAGGTCTGTCTGACTGGCTATTTTGGCTATTTTGAAGACACCCGCCTGAGTGTTAGCCATGCCAAATGTGTAACAATTGTGCTGAAAGATGTTCAGCTAGCATGCCGCATAGCTGCAGAAGGTGCTTAAGCATTCACTCTGGGGGCTGACACTGTAGCCTACCCAGTTGTCACCTGCAGTGCTGGCATCTCATATGGCCACCAGTTGAGTCCTGGCTGCTCTACTTGCAATCCGGCTCCCTGCTAATGTGCCTGGGAAAGCAGCGGAAGATGGCCCAGGTACCTGGCCCCTGCAGCCACGTGGGAGATCCAGATGAAGCTCCTGGCTCCTGGCTTCCGCCTGGTTCAGGCTCTCAAGGCCATTTGGGGAGTGAACCAGAGGATCAAAGATCCTCTCCCTCTTCCTTTTCCTGTAACTCTGCCTTTCAAATAAATAAAATGAATCTTTTAAAAAAAGAATTCACTATTATGGGAAACATTTCATTCCCAAAATGAAATGTTTCTTCTTATTATTGATAGTTCTGAATGTTAGATTTTTTTACGGAGTTCAGTAGTTCATAAGTACCTGATTGTGAATGGAACAGAACTTACATATTGGCAGTTTTTCCATTTTCATTTGTGTGTGGATTTTTAATCTACATATAGGGGCATAAAGCATTAGTTCAAGTCAGACTGCTGCAGTGAGCAAACTTAAGCAATTCAACTTTAAAAGTACCATAAATAAACCTGCTAGGTTTTCCCGGGGAATGACAACATTCAGATTTCTTCAAAAAACAAATTTTTTGACAGCAAAAAAAAGTTCTGCCATCTCCTCAGAATATTCAGCCCCTCAACTCCTCATAATGCCCTGACTCCCCCTACCTCCAAATGTTCTGCCCTCATCTCAAAATGTACCACCTTTCCACCTCCTCAATATCTCTTGACCGCCCAGCTCCTCAAAATGTACTGCCTCAATCTCTCAGAATGTCCAGCACCCTAGTTCCTAAAAATATCTTTCCCTCACAACTCCACAGATTATCATGCGGCTCTATCTCCTTAGAACGTCCTGCTTGCCCAGGAACTCCTTACGTCATATCCACCAACTCCTAGTGGCCTAGTAGGTTAAGCCTCTGCCTGTGGCGCTGGCATCCCATGTGGGCACGGTTCTAGTCCCAGCTGCTCCACTTCTGATCCAGCTCTCTGCTATAGCCTGGGAAAGCAGTAGAAGATGACCCAAGTCCTTGGGCCCCTGCACCCATGTGGGAGACCTGGAGGAAGCTCCTGGCTCCTGGCTTCAGATTGGTCCAGCTCTGGCTGTTGCAGCCAATTGAGGAGTGAACAGGTGGATGGAGGATCTCTCTTTCTGTCTCTCCCTCTCTCCATCTGTAACTCTGCCTCTCAAATAAATTACTAATTTTTTTAAACAAAGCATATCCTTTCCCCAAACTCCTCTGAATATGCTTCCCTACAACTCATCATAGCCTGCCACAACTTCCCCACCTGGTCCTCAGTGAGAAGGGAAAAGCGTTGCCACCTCCTCCCCAGGTGGGATCATAAGACACAGCCCTAGCTATGAATCTTAGCTGCCCCGTATGGATTCCTGCCTGTTTTTCTCCTCTTTCACTTTAGAGAGTAATGGCTATTCCTCCTGGCACAGAACCTTCCCAAAGCCTTTTTTTCCTGTTCCTGCTTTCCAGACAGACACAAACTCAACAATCACTCATTGTGCCAGGGAACCCAGGTCCAAAGAGGCCAAATGGCTTTGCCAGGGTGACCCAGGGTAGGACCACTTGGATTCACTGGTGTGGTTACTCTCAGGCTGCAAGTCCTTTGCTATGTGCATGCTATAGATTGATTTTTAAATTTCACCTTAGGATGGAAAACAACTCTGTCTTGGAAACCCCCCAACACTTTCCTGCCCAGCTCCTTCTCCAACTCCCTTTCTCTGTGCTTGCCCAGTTTCAAGGCAAGGCCAATAAAGGCAAAGTCCATGTACTACAATTCCTTCCTCAACTAGAGGCTAAGACTGCCGCTCCCTTGCCCGCAAAGGAACGACACTGTTCGCAGCTTATCGGTCTTCAGTGGACTTTTAATGAGAAAATAACAGTGACAGAGAAAGAATGAAGGGAGGAGAGTGGACAGGAAAGCCCCCTCCTTCCTCAGCACACAGCTTATATGCAAAATCTGGCCAATTGCAAGCGGGCTCAAGTCCATGCACGGAACACTCCAATCCGCTGTCTGTTCACGCAGTGTGCACGAGCCCTCGGGCCATTCAGATGAGGTGTCATACAGCAGGCAGGCTCACCGCGCGGTCCTCGGCGCCATCTTGTTGTTTACAACATTCTCAACTCCTCTGGAAAGTCCCGACCGTGGGAAAGCATCGCCCTAACCGAAACTAGCAACATCCGCCTTGCGATAAAGACACAGCAACAGCTATCAGACCGACCTTGACGTGGGGGCTCCATGGCTGCGCATCCCATGGAGCCCCACATAAGACCTTTTTTAAAAAACATTTATTTATTTATTTTTGACAGGCAGAGTGGACAGTGAGAGAGAGAGACAGAGAGAAAGGTCTTCTTTTTCCGTTGGTTCACCTCAATGGCCGCTGCGGCCGGCAGGCTGCAGCTGGCACACCGCACTGATCCAAAGCCAGGAGACAGGTGCTTCTCCTGGTCTCCCATGTGGGTGCAGGGCCCAAGGACCTGGGCCATCCTCCTCTGCACTCCCAGGCCAGAGCAGAAA